TTTCTTTTCCTTTCTGTCGCTGCTCCTTTCTTCCTTTGTTCCTTTCTCACTTCCTTCCACTTTCTTTTTGTGTCTATAATGTTCTCTTTTTATGGTTGCTTTACTATTTTGTTGGTGTCTGTCTTCTTTTCCTTTATTGTTTTCTTTGTTTATTTGGTTTCTGTGTTTTCCTTTGCTTCTTTTGTTTTTGCGGTGCAAAAGAACGACCACGCAGTGAAACAATCACACAAAACAACTTCATGTCGCAGCATCGTTCTTGCCTGAAACGTTCTTGCTTTATGTGTTCTTGCGCTATAGGCCCTACAACTGCGAGCTGTGAAACGCTTGCTTTTGATGGATCTTTTGGTCCCGACCTTTTTGTTTCACAGTTTCACAAAACGACTACAACATCAAGCAAAAAGTTCTGGCTGCTCTTGCTGCTTTCTATGTGCGCAGCTCTACTTGTTATGGCATCTCAGCTCTATTTGTGATGGCATCAGGTCTTGCGTGTTTCGTCTTGTTGACATAGAACGAAAGCATTCAAGGCATTGTGTAGCAGTTTGCATTGCAGTGTCCAGCATGCATGTCTTGCTGTTGAGGCTTTTGGTCTTGCATGTTTTTAGTTGATATAGGTTCTTGCAACTTGTGTGGAACTTGGAAAGCGTTTCAAGTTCAAGTCACAAGTGTATTGGTCTAGTCTGGTGCCCCGCACCAAGTATGTCCAGTCTAGATGTTGCCTTGGAGCAGCAAAGCAATGCTGCCAAAACAAAACTGAAAGAACGTGCCGGCAAATCACGATTGGTCGCAGACAGCAGCACTGGAGTCCGAGACATTCAGAACGTGCTGAGAAACTTCCTCACCTACAAAGAAACTAGTGACCTGCATGCTTTGATCTCTCCAGGAAAATTTGCAAAGCTCACCTGGAAGTCTCAACCAGACCCAGAGTACATGGTGAAAATGGCGAACCTTTGCCACGACTTGGCTGCCATTGCCCCAAACTCTAAACTTGCAGGGAAAAAATCAGGGATGCTTTGCAAAAGCTTCTTGACCTTGGTGAAGTCAGAAACACAACCGAGCGAGAGAACAAATCCTTCATTGACAACTCGGACCTCCTGATTCGAATCGCTATGGGGATGTTTCGATCTTTAAAGTATGACCTGCTTAAGAGAGATCAAGTTCTGAGGAGGATTGGTAGCCCGGATTCCAACAAGATCAAACTTGTGTTGGAGCGATTGATCCTTCCAACGGATTATGATGGAGGGGTCAGTGATGGTGAAGAAGATGCCACTGCTTGGGCGGCGGCAGACGGTGGTGGTTCTCGCAGTGATCTCGCCCTCCCTCTCCAGGATGCACAGGACTTTGACATCTCTGAATTTGAGAAGATCAGCAGCAATCAGCTTCAGCCTTTACCTCACGCTGCCCCAGCTACACCTACAAAAGGTCCAACTTCGTCCAATTCTGTTGGCTTCAGCCCCGATGCATCGAAAACAGAGCCTCAGGGCAGATTCACCGGAAGTTCGGCATCCTTTCGCATGAGCCGACTTGAGTTGGGACCCCCATCACCTGTGAAGCGCAAGTTGAACCTAGATGAGAAGTTGCTTTATGAAGCAGAGGGCCACATCCCAAAGAAGGCAGTGCCAAAGTCGAAGGCAGGGCCCATGAAGAGGCCAGCCATCAAGCGTCCACCATCCTCTCTCCCTCCAACCAACTCTCATGAGCCTAATGAAGTTCCTGGTGAAGGAGCAGTTGGTCATGCTGATGATGGCGATGAACGAGGTGATGAACCGCCCACTAAGCTGATGTTCCGGAAGAATGTCCACAGCAGGGCCTACAACAAGGAAAAAAATGCACAACTCAAGGGAGGCGCTGACCTCGAAACTGCGAAGGATGCTGCCCGTTCCGCTGGTGCTGCTGCTGTGCGAGAGGCTGAGGCACAAGGTCTTCTTGAGGATTGAGTGGTAGATTTGTATGCAAATGTGTAAGTGTAGAGGCAGCTTCATTGGTTTCAAGCTAGCACAAAAGCTTTCGCGGAAATATATTTCTTGCGCATCTTGCAAACGCCACACCCAGATTATGTTCCAGAAGTTCTTGCACAGGTTCTTGTACACCGAACACGCGAACATTCTTGCAAACATGTGTTTTTGATGTCTTGCTTTCTTGCTGTGAAGTGTACACCGAACATGCGAACATTCTTGCAAACATGTGTTTTTGATGTCTTGCTTTCTTGCTGTGAAGTGTTTGCAATGCTGCTAGATTTGAGCTGTGCGTTTGAGATGTTCTTGAGTTTACCATTTGGAATCAGATTTGAAGATTCTTGCTTGGATGTATTGAAATACTGCAAGATTTGAATGCCCAAGCGCTGCAAATGCACAGTCCATGTGTACATTCACATTTTGCACATGTATACTTTGTTTTGGTTTTTGAGTTTAGTGTGCTTCCTCTACTAGTTGTTGTTCTTGCAATGGCTGCTGAGCCTCAGCGCTTGTATATTGGTGGATGGAAGATGGGTATCACCCGGCAAGATTCTAGTCAAGTACAGTGGAGATTTATTTTGAAACTGCGTTCTTTTGCACAGTCAATCTTGCGATGTTCTTGCTTAACATAGTTCTTGCTGAACATAATAGTTCCTCCACAGTCGATTTGTTTATGTACCCACTGAGGAGATCTATGACTATTTGGCGGCCAACGATTTGCCGATTCCGAATGATATCAAGATTGGTAGACGCTTGACGTTAAAAGAGGCTTCGTGATCTTGCCACCTGTGATGTTCTTGAGATGAACATATCACCATGTTCTTGCCACTTGTGTTGCTAGAGTTTGTTGCAGTTGACACGGTGATGCTTTGATATAACATCTGTGATTCAAGAGATTCAGCTTCTTTGCACTTGTGATGTTCTTGAGATATTTTTTGTAACTGAGATGCTGCATGTTCTTGACAGGCGCCACTCAAAGGGGATATCCTGTTCTTGCCGCCTGTAGCTCTTGCCACATGTTTTGTTCTTGCCACCTGGTGTTCTTGTCAGTTCTTGCGCTTGAGATGCGTCTTGCCGATCATGTTCTTGCCTCAGGTCAGGGGTCATCAGACCAGATGTATACCTTTTTCAACCTGAGCTCCGCTGCTGATTCAGTGGCGATCCAGCTTGCACTTCGCGGCAAGACCATTACAGGTCTTACGAAGAGGGCTTTGAAAGTCAACATTGCCGGTCCAGCACCTCCACGCTACGATCCTGCGACCAAACATGGAAGCCGACCAAAGCACCCTTCGGTGTCGATGCCGCAAGCTCATGGTTATCCATTTCCACCGGAGCCTCCACGACAGATGTTCGTATCCACTACAGTTGGCACGGAGCATCATCCAGTTGGCAAATATGTGGTACAACCTCCGGTACCGACGCCCACATCCTCCGTGACATCGAGACCAAAGCCGAGCATGGCACCGAGATTCATGGCCAAGCCATCAGCATCGGTTGTGCCAGAAGTTGCGCCAGTGGTTGCTCCTCCTGCTGTGAAAGCTGTTATGAATCGGTGGGGAGAGCTTGGCCCGCGACCTCCCACCGAGTGGCTCCGTCCGCGAGAGGCCATGCAGGGCGCTGTCTCCGGTGGTGAGACAGAGTATGCTGGTTCAGATGGCTCTCCGCATGAGCGTGGTGAGGAGGAGTCATCGCCAGATCATCCAAGCTGTGGATGTGCATCTTGATCTGTTTTTGATCTGTAGTTTAATCATGCACTTCTCTTGCATTTTTGCTTATTGCAATATGTTCTTGATAATACTGTTGATGAACTGTTCTTGGTGTTCTTGACAATATATGTGATTCATTGCACTTTTTCAGACAGTTCTTGCTCGTTCTTGTGCTTTGTGTTCTTGTGAGTTCTTGTGTTTGTTCTTGCATTGTCAACCTAAGGATTGAAGCGAGCATTGATGGAGGTCTTTTTGATTTTCTTGAATGTAGTAATTCATATGTGGACCCTCTAGTCAGGGAATACCAATAACAGCCCGGATGACCGGCCGTGGACTGTTTTTGCTACATCAGAAAAGTTGATGTTGGCA